GGGATGCAGCCCAGGGTAGGGTTGGCTTCTGGGCTGCCAGCGCCCATGGCCGGCTCATGGCCAGCTTTTCATCCCCCAGCGCCCCCAAGTCCCTCTGGGCAGGGCTGCTCTCCATCCTTTTCACCCCCTGGAAGCGCAGAGCTCTGCAGCCTCGCAGCGGGGCCCGCTCCCTCTGGAGGGGAAGGCAGGCAGCCAGGCTGGGGGAAAGCCCAGGGGTCCCATTTATGAGGGGGGTAACTCCTGCCTTGTTTTCCTCCCAAGAAGTGACACGGGAAGGGACCCAGATCTCTAGCACGTGTTGCTCATTCTTCAGCTGCAGCCATGTCTCCAGGCCAGGAGCAGCCTTGCTGCACGCATTTTTCCGTCTGTCCTGCCAGGAGATGCATCGCAGTCTCTTGCCGAGCTCGATTGCATCTGGTGTCGACTCGGGGCTTCAGTCCCCGAGAGCGGGGCGCCCCCTGCAGCGAGTGCCCAGGGCTTAGTCCCGGGCTGGAGGTTTCCTGGAGCGCCAGCCCAAACGCCTGATCAGCACGAGCCCGTCGCTGGGCAGTGCCCCGGTGGCACCGCGGAGCCAGGGCTTCCCTCAGAGACCGGGAGATGCCATCGAGCACCGAAAGGGCTGTGGCCGGGCAGGGTACTGGCCTTCAGGCTTGCTCGGCTTTGCTCCCGGGAAAGCGGCTTGGTTTGAAGCAGGGTGCCGAAAGATCCCTTTGCTCCCGCGCCAGCCTGGCTGAGGGACTCGATAGCCGGCCTGGGGTGCTGCTGGCGCTGGGTGCCAGGCTTCTCCTGCCCCGGCGCTGCATTCTGGCCACGAGGACAGGGCGTTTTTCTGTTCCAAGGCTCCCTGTCCCGTAGCTCCTGGGCAGCCTCTTTCATGCCATGGTTTTCTGCAGATGCTTTAACCTTCATTAACCCTTCTCCAGCTACGGTGCTCCTGGGGTTCCAGCTGGTGCTTCTGGGGGGTCCCAGTGGTCCGAGATCGGCACCCAGAAGCAAAGCCCTCTGTTAAGTTGTGCCAGGGCAGGGTGAGGTTGGGCATGGGGAACAATTCCTTCCCCTTGGGGCTGTCAGGGGCTGGAAGGGGCTGCCCAGGGAAGGGGTCGAGGGCTTTGCCAACCCAAACCATTCTGGGATTCCATGGTTCTCTGAGGTGGTCTGGAGCCCGTGCCTGTCCCAGCCAAGCCGACTGTGTCTGCGTTCCCTTGCCAGGGCCCTGAACAAATGCAGCGTGGAGGTGTATAAGAAGGTGGGGATGCTGTACCCCGAGATGAGCGTCCACGAGCGCTCCCTGGACTTCCTGATCGAGCTGCTGCACAAGGACCAGCTGGACGAGACGGTCAACGTCGAGCCGCTGACCAAGGCCATCAAGTACCACCAGGTGGGCCTGGGGGGCCGAGCGCGACGGGCTCCTGGCCAGGCTCGGGGGGCTTCTGACCTGCAGGGCAGGGCGCTGGTGCCGTGCGTACCACCGCTGGGAATCGCGCCCGTGGAGTCATCGCTCGCGTGGCACGGCGACCAGCTGTGAGCGGGCTCGTCGGTAGCGCTTTCCTTTGGACCTTTTTCATCTCTGGGGCACGCGGGGTTTGAGCCTGTGACTGCGTCACCCGGGGGCTGCGCTGTCTGCGCTCTGTCCCCGCGGAGGGGACGCAGGCGGAGGGGATGCGGTGCTCCCGCCCTGCGTTTCTGTGCCTCTGTGCTGCCCACCCCTTGAATTCAGGGCTGCCAGCTCCTTTGGAGGGCACAGCGTCCAGAGAGGATCTGGTGGGGGTCACTGCAAGAGTCTTCACTTCCAAATAAAAACCAGGCCAAACCCTCAGCGTTCGGGGGTTTTGTTGTGCCTTTCCTCACGCGCTTTGTTCGCTGGCGTGTCTGGAAGCACCTGGGGGGTGCTGACCTCTGATGGCTGCTGACCTCTGATGGCTGCTGACCTCTGATGGCTGCTGACCTCCTCTGATCACTGCTGACCTCTGATGGCTGCTGACCTCTGATCTCTGCTGATCTCTCCACATAGCACCTCTACAGCATCCACCTGGCTGACCAGGCTGAAGACTGCACCATGCAGCTGGCCGACCACATCAAGGTGACGTGGGGGAACTAACCCGACCCTTTCCCTCTTCCGTGTTTTCCGCCTTTGCTCGTTCTGCTCCCCAACCCTGAGTCCATTTGGGGCATGGAAGTGCCTCCCCATTGCAGTCGCTTTTCCCCAGCTCCCACTGCCTGGGAGGTGACGTGGTGGCACAGGGGTGACGAGGGCTCCCAGGGCAGGGAGAGGGGAAGGAGACGCGGGGCCGTTTGCCCTGCAGATGGCTGGGTAGAAAGAGAAGAGCGGCAAGGAGAGTGCGGAGGACCCGGTGCCTTCAGAGGGAGTGTTGTGCGGCCCTGGGCTGCTACGGGAAGTGCCAGTGCCCCACGGAGTAAAATAAGTTGGCCGAACGCCTCCAGCCCTTTTCCTGCTCCTGTAAATCCTGCAGTGGTGGCAGGGTGGCGTGCAGAGGGTCCCTCCTGAAATGCCCGAGACCAGAGCCCCCGTTTGCCCTGGCGCGGCCGTCTTGCCTGGTCTCTGCTTCGCCCCGAGCTGACGGTGCCTGTGCTTGTGCTCTGCAGTTCACCCAGAGTGCCTTGGACTGCATGGGGGTGGAGGTGTGCCGACTGCGATCCTTCCTCCAGGTAGGACGTGCTCAGGGTGGCCCCAGGGGCTCTGCTGGGCTCCCCTCGCCCGTGGTCCCTCTCTCCATATCTCTGAGGTTCTTTCTTTGCACCCTAGGCTGGGCAGGAGGCGTCCGACCTTGCCATCCTCCTCAAGGACCTGGAGACCTCGTGCAGTGACATTCGCCAGTTCTGCAAGAAGATCAGGCGCCGCATGCCCGGGACGGACGCTCCGGGTATCCCTGCGGCGCTGGGCTTCGGGCAGCAGGTGAGCTGGCGCGAGCTGAGGTGGGATGTGGGGTCTCTGGGCTTCGTGTCTCTAGTTGGGACGGAGGCGTGGGCTTCGTAACCTACTTTTCTCCAGTTTCTGTCTTTCCTGGTGCTTCCCGTCTTCCTAGTGATGCTTCCGAAGCACGATAAAATCTCGCTGGCTGTCAAACTTGGGGGGGGGGGGGGGCGGGGGCTGCGTGGCCGGGAGCTTCCCCAGTGCTGGGAAGCCGGCTGGGAAGCACCCCGGTTG